CTACATACATGTAGTCAAATTAATAATAATAATAATAACCTTTATTGTACATTCATGCCCTATCGGGCTAAGTACAGGTGAACAGATGAAATAGGTAATATACATGTTTGTATTACAAACAGCTTTAAAACTACTCTAATACAATTAATGAATAAAATGAACTTTATTCCTCGACAATCGCACGTGGTACAATGCGTGGCAGTAAATCAGCAAAATTACGAGGCTAATTAATCTATTCCAGAATCGCAACTGCAAAATATCCTAGACAATAGTATATGAGGTACAATATAGTCATGTGTGGATGATTTGGACTCACTTTTGGAAGTGAGTATAAAGAAATTGACCTGTCGGCGGATATGGCAGTAGGACATGACAACAGGACACGGAAACTATCGTTCAGTGAAGATTTATCTTACTAGAAGGACAAGCCATCACAAAGTTAAATTCATCTTCAATCATTTTCATTACACGTGGGACACAGTCTCACAGCGTCCGCCTGCACCAAATGCGTGATAATTGACCACTGTGCTGTTATCGCTCGCTGTTGTCTAAACATCCCAGTTGTAGGATTGACAAGTTCAAGATACTTCTTACTGTGGGTAGGCAGTCAAAATGTGTAATTCTACATGTATCAATCGACATTATGTTTCTCTGACAGGCCACTGAAGTACTTGGGCCACGTTTTGGGTCTTACAGATCGTTTCTCAGATGATGAAAAAGTAGGTGAAAGTCGATCAGTCGCGTTTACACGAGGCGGAGAGGCATCCTGACTCCCCGCTGGGCGATCGTACACGGTCGTACGCCTGCCTTCGAGGTGGCGTACGCAAATTTCGTACGACAGGTGCGTACGATAGGTGGGGCCGGTTTACACGCTGGAAAAAATGGTCGTACGCAATTGTCGTACGATCGCGTGCGTACGCCATTAATAATTTATCGTACGCCAGGTTTTTGTCGTCGTGTAAACCGGGTCTTGAACCCAGGCGGGGATTAACACGTGTCGTGAGGAGCGTTCTCTCCTGACGTGTGGCACACGGCTCAAGTCGCCGCGCCCGCCGTCCTCCTGTCTTACCGATCGAGCGCGTGAAATTTACCGTGAAATGATCGGGCTGTCACCGCCGCCTGTCCCCGGAGGCGGTGCGGAGGGTGAGCTAGCTCTACCAGGCTTCGGCAGGCGGCTGGATAGAGTAGATAGCCTCTACCAGGCTTCGGGAGGCGGCTGGATAGAGTAGATAGCCTCTACCAGGCTTCGGGAGGCGGCTGGATAGAGTAGATAGCCTTTACCAGGCTTCGGGAGGCGGCTGGATAGAGTAGATAGCCTCTACCAGGCTTCAAGAGGCGGTTGGAAAGAGAAGACAGCCTCTTCCAGGCTTTGGGAGGCGGCTGGATAGAGTAGATAGCCTCTACCAGGCTTCGGGAGGCGGCTGGATAGAATAGAAATTGGCCAAATAGAGAGGTAACATATTCCAGGAGAGTTGGTCAGGTGGAGAGAATAAGTTTGCCGCAAAGTGTAACTCTCTAGGACAAACTCCTCTGACATGTTATCTCTCTATTTGAATTGAAAAAAAAATCGTGCTGTTGTATATTTAAAAAATTTATTCAACCAACAAATTTGTTCAATTATTCAACTTGTAAAGAAACGGCCAGACAATTTATTTTCGTTCCGTCCTACTGTTACACAATGCAGCTACATGTAGCTTTAACGTCGTGACTACAGGATCCTACACGTACCGGTAATTACTACAGGAGGGTACAGCAGTGGCGACCCGTGATGACGGACAGACTAATGTACATGAACCACAACAAGTACCCGCACAAGGCGCCCTACAGCGCGTCAACTTCTGACGTTTGTAGGCGAACTCATGTGTGTGCACGTGCGCTGCGCGAACTTTTCAACACATGACATCGTGATGCTCAATACACCGTGCTGTTCAACGGTAATATTGTACAAAATTATGTTTCGAAGTTTTCACATGCATGAAAATATTAATTATGATGTTACCCTATGCCGGATTAAAGTTATAATTAATGTCACAAATTGTAATGAGGACGCAATTCGGGATACTCAGGCCCACGAGTTCCTATAACTTCAAACTTTAAGACGTATTTAGTTGTGTAGGATTCATCGAAAAGTTCTTAATGATCTAAGAGAAACATTCATCCCACTGTAAGGCTTACGGCACACTGTTCGTAAGGTGAATTCTCGGTTAATACGGGATCTTCTGACTCCATTCTGTTGAAGGAAAGTTTCCTTGTCAGTAGAAGTCGCCGAAAAAATTCTTGATTATTCAGGAGAAAAAAATCCATCCCACTGTAACTTCAGACGCTCACGACACGGGGAATTCTCGGTTAACGCAGGATCTTAACTTTTCCGTTCTACCGAAGAAGAATTTACTTGTGGGCAGGATTCACCGAAAAAATTCTTGGTTATTCACGAGAAAAATCCATCCCATTGTAACTTCAAACACTCACGACACGGGGAATTCTCGGTTCACGAAGGATCTTAACTTTTTAACTTGCAGATTTCCGGAGCGGAGCGTCCCCGAGCTCAGCCAATTAGAGACCGCAGGTGACAACCGCTGACCTGCGCACGCGCGGAACGGGTGACACGCGCCCGGGGGACCATAATTAAGACACGAGGACTAAAAATTCGGGGGACTGTCGGATAATTGTTGACATCATTAGGAAAGAAATCTTACGAATTAAAGCGCTTCCTTTCATGCCAGGGTGGCGAGGACTGGTGCGCACGTAGAGTCGCGGTGCTGGAGGCAGGTCAACGGTACAGATTTAATGGCAGCTTTTTCCAATTTTATGCATGGCGCAGAACTTTGAGTTTAACGACCAGAACTGAACGAAAAGCAAATCAAGCATACAAAGTCAGACTGCAGTCGCGTATAGGTTTGTGTGTTCATGTATTTCGTACGTTCAGAAATATATCATATTTAGGCACACAGAACCTTCAACTAGTACTCAACACTGATAACAATGATGACACTGAGGATCACTGAGACATAACACTAACTAAAGTAAAACGTAGTTCCTCCGTTAGTAGTTTACGTTTTCAAGCCCTCCATAACCACATTCTTTCAATTACTTATCCTTGGTCTTTCCTCAAACTTTCTCCAAACTAAAACCTTCTAGCCTACCAGGCTTCGCTTGAAGCTACTGAAATGAGTAGCAATTGCCCAAATAACATGCCACGGGAGTTGGTCTGCTTAGTAGGTACAGTTTACTACTGATTAACTAATAGCAGAAGAAATCGGCCAAAAAAAGGAATGTAACTGGCCAATTTTCACCTTAACTCCAGTTACATTGCTGTTTAGGCCGATTTCTACTAGTTATTCAGCCTTGGTCGAGACTTAGTAGGTTCAAGGGTTCAGCCTGCGAGGAGTCTGGTGGAGACTAACAGTTAACCGCTCTCATCAGGCTAAAGACCTCCTTTTACTGAACTTGGAACTCTCTACATTAAAAGTTCCAGGTTTAATAGGGGAGTCGGCTGAGGTGATGATTCCCAGGCGGCCCCCGTTCCGAGCCCACGCGGACATGGGAAATGACAGACTCAATGGTTAATTCAGTTCTGTGCGACGCCGAGGACGCTATTACCCGCGCCGCACTCCGCGTTTCCGTCAATTACAACTGTCACGACGGCGCAAACAGGCGCGCGTGACAGCCGAAGGACCGGAGGTGCCTGGGGACGACGACATCCTGTTTTTCTCATGTTTTTCTCAAATACATCATGTGGAAACCAACGTGGTTCTAACGTAGCGTCCCCGGCTTCGAGAGTTGCACGTTGCTGCAGCGTTTTACGTCACACATCACCGTGAAATATGCTCAATGTCTAATTCCCTGTTGACTACCAAGAGTTCACGGCAACTTCTGTAACGTTACTCAGACATGTAGCATTAGTTACTCAGTTCATATTTTATTGCTTCATCATTTCCAATGTATTTGCAATTAGCCATTAGGTATGAATGTGCAATAAAGTTATTATTGTTATAATCTTTTGTGTAGTGTTCTTTGGAAATTTGAAGTTATCTAGAGCCTGGACAAATTCACTTATCTTATGAATTTAGACAAACCTCTAATTCTTAAACATGTCTGCTCTTATCTTTGCACCATCATGGAGTAGCCAGAAGTCGAATTTACAAATAAACACGACATACAAGATATTCATTTGTACTAACCCAGTGGGTATGTTTGTACAATAAATGTCTTCATTCATTCATTCATTCATTCATTCATTCATTCATTCATTCATTCATTCATTCATTCATTCATTCATTCATTCATTCATTCATTCATTCATTCATTCATTCATTCATTCATTCATTCATTCATTCATTCATTCATTCATTCATTCATTCATTCTTACA